AAAGATAAAGTAATATCCCTTTCTATCAAAATGACAAGTGATGCTTTGGTTGTATTCTACTCCAAGGTGGTGGTTATCTCGTTAATCCCTGGTCGTACCCCAACTTCCTTGTTGCCGCCCAACTTTTCTGTGCCTTTCTTGTGGCGCCCAACCTTCCCTGCAACTTTCTTGCTACCACCTAGCCTTGCCTGCGCCTGTCTTGCTGTCGCCAGGCCCATAGCGCCTCTCCTGCTACTGCCGAGCCCCCTGCACCTTCCCTGCTATAGCCCAACTCTGCTTGCGTCCATTTTGCTGTCGCCAAGCACCGTCCAGCTCCTTTCCTACTGCTGTCAAGAACCTTTCAGCTCCTTTCTTGCTGTCGTCGAGCCCTCCTGCACCTACCCTACTGTCACATCCTCCTTAACCTCCACTTGTTGCCACAGCTTCTCTAGCCATTTCCCTCTCATCTAGCCAGAGTTTGCCACCTTTGCCCTTGCCCTAGATTCCATTTGTATTCGTATCATTTTATTTCCAGTTTATATGCTTCTTTTCGAGTTACTCGGGTATCATTTGATATTAGAGCTAGTTTAATCTTAGTCTTATCCTAGGTTTTATTAGCATTCATCTTACACCTTTACCAAATTTTTTATCTTTTTTATCCTCAACCACCCCTTCTAAATATAGACCCTAATCATGCCACCACGAAGATACATGTCAGAACCTGCCTGGGACGAGATATAGAGGGAGATCCGTCGGCTTCAATAGAGGCTTACAGAAATTGATTATGTAACCTAGTGGGAGATTACCCTCGACTATCATCTGGAGAGTCGAAGGGGGAATAGCGATGAGAATCTGTTCCATAAGGAAGACATCAGCGTCAAGAAATACCTGCCACATTGCTTTAGAATTTATTACCAGATGAGCCCAACAACAAGAAGAATAGTTTGTGGAAGATTTGCATTGATAGGGGTCATCAACAAGATTGACATCAAATACTTGTTTCCCATTCCTCACTTGCACGATCTCTTGGACCGGGTACACGGAGCCACCATTTTTTCCAAGATCGAAATACACAATAGGTTCACCAGATCATGTTGAGGCCAAGAGAGACTGCTTTCGAGGCACAAGATGGTTTATATGAGTGGACAGTTATGCCCTTCAGTTTTAAGTTTAGGTTATATGATATATTTTTAGTGTTAGGGTTTGGGAGATATCGTCTATATTTTGAATTGTAAGTGTTTATTTTTTATGTATTTTGATTTTTTTTTTAATTCTTGTGGAATGGAGCCCTAATATTTTTTCCCTAATAGCTATGAAAGGTTGTTTGTTCCCATCAAATTTGTATTAGAGCCGATTATGGGGTGAGCCAAATTTATAGAACAATGAAAATCAATGTGGGTCGAGAAAGGAACCCCAATCCAAGGTTCATGGTTGGAATGATCTTTGGTTGAGGAAATTGGGGAGGTGACTCACACATAAGGAAGGTGAAGATGTTGGTAAGAAGAGATTCATATGGTTGGCTTTATCGTGTGGAGAGATATTTTGTTGTTAATGGGTTGACGAAGGAATAAAAATTGATAGCGGCGACCCCGTGTTTGGAAAGGAAAGCTCTAGCATAGTGTCAATGGAGAGAAGAACATCATCATCAAAATATGAGAAGAATTCAAAGGCGGATTGTTGGAGCGTTTCAGAACCATGCAAGTAAGGGATTTATAGGAACAATTTTTTATATTGGTTTAGGGAAGGTTTGACATGGATTATTGGGAGAAATTTGAGAAGTTATCCGACTGCTCTTTGGAATACCATATTAACCATTTGAAATTTGTTGACGATATTCGGGGTGTCAGGAATCAATAAAAAATTGTGGTTGTGTTGGTTGGCCGCTATCTAATATATTGAAGGGGTTGGAGGATACCGGGACTTACAAGATATTATCGCAAGTTTGTGTAGGGTCATGGTTCGATTAGGCGATCGTTGATGGAACAATTGAAAAAGGATGATTTTCAATGGGGTGAAGCTGCAATCCATTCATTTGAGAAGTTAAAGAAGGCCATAACGAGTGTAGCAGTGCTGACGATACCTGATTTTAGCCAACTATTCATTATAGAGACGGATTCCTCATGCTATGGGTTAGGCATAGTCCTCATGTAGTCTCAAAGACTTATCACTTACTCTATCTGAGTGTTGGCGGTGAGAGCCAAATTTAATTTAGTTTATGAGTGAGACAATACGACTTGATTCAACACGAGTTTTCTCTCGTCTGCTTTGAGGACAATATGTCTTTTGGGAGGGAAGTAATGTTAGACCAGCATGAATTAATTTAAAAAGAGAAGCGAATTTTGCTTCGTATTGCATAACTGGCTTGACCCTTGATTCAAATGAAAGAACTTATCTTTCAATCCTAATCTGGATAATGGCGGAATGAATCAATCCTAATTATTGGGCGAAATCGAGTAATTTTAGTTTAAGTTCTATGTCAATGGGTGAGCATTCGGGCTATTATAGCTACTACACAATTCGGCTTTAGTACTAGGTAAATTCGGAAAAAAAGCTACGCATTTCACGCTTATAAGCTATTAGTTTGTGTTTTTTTTTTTTTTTTTTGAATATTTAACTGAAGCAATCAGGATAAACTTTTGGGTTTTTTTTTGTGTAATATCTCAAAGCAATCTTTAAGGAAATGATGAAAATTTCCTTAGATTTTCTTAAAAAACATTGTCGCTTCTACATTAATTGTTTGTTTTGTATTATTATGCTAATGCAAATTGCCGTTCTCTTTTGTTTAATCTTTATCTTTTTCTATAAGGCTGTCCCTCTTACTCATTTGAATGCCTTGTAGGTGGAAGTAGTGAAGTCCCTTAATGATAATGAAGGACCACAATGGAGATATTCACTTTTTGGAAATCCCAGCGATCCGGAAACTTTTAGGTATATAATACATGAATATAAACTATTCAGTTTATCACATATTGCCTTGATTGCCTGGAAGTTATTAAGTGGACTACTTACTGATGTGGAATGTGTATCATGCTATTCATTTTTCTAATATGACAAGCCTGCTAATTTTTTTGATATGGATTATGCTTCAACTAATTCATACAGGATGCCCATTGTTTGACTTGGTGCCTTCACTTGCCAATTTGAAAGTGATGTTTCTCCTTTTTTTTGAGAATAATTAATTTCTCTCTATATTAGGTTCCAAACAATGTTCTTACATCAGGCTGAAACTACGTAATTTGCACTTATGTTTAGCTTGTTTATTGTAGGTGTTTTTTCTCATTGTTTTATGCTTGATAGTTGTTGCATTAGCATCTCTCGTTGCTAACACAGGATGCACTTGCGAAGACTTCCCGTGATTTCAGTGCCTGGATTGACCTGTTCAGACAAGGGCAAAGTCGATCGGCTAATCCTCTTTGGTTTTGTGCCTTTTTCAACTGTGAGCCCAATCCTAATTATCTAGGGCACATATATTTGCTTCCTGTGTTCTTGGGTTTTAATTTTCTATGTTTTATATCGGGACAGCCGCCAGCATCTCTTTATCCCTTCGAGGGATGTATTCAAGGGTTCGAGTGGTGCTCTGACTGCATACAAGAGTTCGAGTGGTGCTCTGGCTTTATCTCGCTCCTGAGGGTGATTATCTTCTTTATTCCTTTGTTCTGCAATCCGCTATCATCCTTCATGCTGCAGCCGTCCCCATCCAGGTTTTTCTGCAGTTTCAGTTGTCAACATCGCCTTCCACGCCCTCCTCTTCGCTGCCATTGAAGTTCCAGCCCTGCAATTTCACTGCCGCCACTGTTCCATCCCTCGCCTCGCTGTTTTGGCTGCTGTCCAGCCATTTGGTACAGCTGCTGCCACCCAAAAATCCCTTGCCTTCCTGTTATATCGTTGTGCAATCATCCTACATCGTTGTCGTCGCCCAAAAACCCCTTCACCTTGTTGTTTACCATTGCTTGACCATTCTTCCTGCTTGTTGCTGCCCGGGACAGCTTGCACCTGTTATTCTCTCGCTGCACCTGCTCCTCTGCTCTACTTCTCAATCTTGCCGCCACCTTTCCAAGCCCATAGCAGCCACAATCATCATCTTTGATTCGCCCTAATTGCATTTTTTGTTGTAAGCATTGTTATTTCCCGTTTCGAGTGTGTTGGTTGTAACTGTCTATTAGTTTTTTCAATAATAATATTTGTTTGCTTAATTTTTTTTTGGTTAACTCTAGTATTATTTGGTATCAGAGCTAACATAATCATACTCTTATCTTAGGATTTCTAGCATCCACCAATACCCAACACCCATTTACTGATTTTTTTCCAAACCAGCCTCCTAGAAATTTGTTTTTCCACCTTGCATAATCCCTATAAACCCTCTTCCACTTATTGAAACCCAAACCCCATCCGTGCCACCGTATAGACAATTGTCAGAGACCTGTTCGGGAGAAAACGCCACAATTCCATTTATGAGAAATTTGTAATAAGGTGTTTGGAAACCTTCTATAAAGAATGTGATGCAGGAAATCTTCCAATTGCAATAGAAGCTTACTACCTTCGAGAGGAGACAATCTGGAAGGGTCGCCCATAGCCACAACTGTGACTTGAGAAATCAAAAGAATGCAGTGAATCCTGTATATCAAGCAGATTCCAGAGATGAAGAACCATTGCACTGCATATTTGACTTAAAATATCAGAGATTCCAGGTCATATGGATTCAAACAAGTTCATCGAGTGGCTCAGAATACTGAAATGTTTCTTCGAGTACCATGATGCCTTAACAGATTGAGGGGTGAAACTAGCCACTAACAAGTTAAGGAAGAATGCTTTTAGTGGGAGAATTTAAAAATTCTTTGATAGTGAGAAGGAAAGAGAAAATTACTATATTATGCAAGATGAAATGGGAGATGCAGTACCTTTATCTAACATTTTGTTGCCGACCGGATGTTTAGACCCTAGCTTCAGAAGTTGAGAGGCAACATCATCGAATGATTTTCACACATTCTAGGCAGAGTTCAAGATCGAGCAATAACAATATGCTTAACGGAACACCCAAGCCCCCCACTTGAGGAGAAATGGATTCAGAGTGAAGAATAGGTGAAGCCAACCAACACTCCTAAGTCTATCCCAATCAGAAAGTGCATCGAGTGCCATGGTTTTGGGTACAGTGCAGCAGACTTTTCAAACAAGGCACAGTCTATTTCACTAAGCAGTTAGATGTTAAAGAAATGGGTAACAAGTAATGATACAATAGACACTATAGAAGGTGAGAATGCAAAGGAGTATCAGATTCCAATTGATGAGTGAGAAAAACATGTAGTTTAAGTTGAGCTCATGAGAGAAGCTTCTAGAGAATTAGTATTGGTGGTCCAGTTGAATCTTAAGTTTGAAGAACTGGTACCAGAAATATGGCAGGCTCAGATAAGGGAATTTTAGACTTTTAAGATATATAGTCTACTTTCTGAATTACTCATACTGAGAGAAATCCAACATGTTAGAGATAAGGCTCTGTTGTGCAAATTCTGTAAGACTGTATGGAGTCATTTGGGCAGTAAAATCAGTTCAGCAGTCTACTTACTTACAGTTGATCAGACGGAATGGATAAACCACAACATTGGAAATTGGCTAACAATCTTTTGGGTAAAGAACATCATGCAACAAGATCCAGTTTCCACCAGAGAAGAACATGTTTATCTTGAGTGGTTGTTATTAAAGGTTTCCACCCAGTTTTATACTTTGTTTCAAAGTAGATTCCTCCTTGCTTATCAGATAAATGCATATGAGTACAAGGAGTGGAATAAGCTATTTATAGATTTGGTGACTCGAGACTTGGTTGTAAGAATACTGATCCAGGTGCAGTTCCAGTCTGGTTGTGCTAAAGGAGGACATATATTTATTCTATCTGGATGTGTTTTGGAATAAGAACACTTACATAATTTTTTTACTGGTAGATTGTTATTTTTCTACCACATTCAACGAGACCGAGCTGACACCATTCTACGAGGAGACAGAAGCTTCACCGGATAAGGTTGGAGCTCCCCCATCTTTGGGAGACTGTTACGGGAGCATTTCCCACTTACGAGTGGGATGGGGGAGCGTCTCCCTCTTCTGATGTGAGTCGCAATCTCAGGGACTTCCCGCGATTCCAACTCCTAGACCAACTGGTCCAGGTAATCGGAGAATCGATTGGCTACTCCTCTTAGGTTTGGCGTCTCCCTTTAATAGTGGGTACAACCCTAATTATTTAGGGCATATATATTGTTTCTTGTGTTTTACGTTTTCAATTTTTTTTGTGTTTTGTATTGGGACAGCTGTCAACATCTCTTTTTTCTTTCAAGGGGTTTATCCACTCCACTGGTAGTGATTATCATCCCTATTCCCCTTCCACATCCTCCACACATTGTTCCAGGCCTCCCTTTCCCCACTTCAGCCGCCCAAACAGCCACATACCACAGC